TTGTTCTTAAAGAAGATGAGAGAAAACAGACACGTTGAACAAGAACTAAGGAACCAAACTTGCTATATTAAACAAAGCCTTTTTAGGAAATCCAAACCATGTTATCTTTGAAAACTTCCACAATCCACTGAGTAACAGAAGAACACCTCTTAAACTCACCTTGAATCCCACATGCTGCACAAATCCACTTTCTGCATGCATCTGCTGGAGTTTCTGTTTCTTCAGTTTTTTAAACTCTAACAGTTCTTTGTATTCAGGTAACTCTCGATATGTTATTGGAATACTCTCTTCATCCTGTTCATGATTAAAAATAAATGAGAAACATTCTTTACTTTAGGAATATAATAACTATTAAGACATATATTCCATAAATCACTATGTATGATTAACTACCTTTGAGAAAATGCTAGCAATATATTCTAAGAAACATACTGGGAAATTATTTTTAAAAACATAGCACAAAACAGTGCATACAGCTAACTTACATTTTGTTTTGTATTATTTATACTTTATTATGTGCATTAAAACAAAAAAGCACTATCCTACAAACAAGTTTCTTCCGGTGAAGAGCTTAGCTGTAGTATAAAGAAGAGAGCAGTGCTTAACTTTAATTCCTAGTTTTTTTCTCATCTTAGATGCCTAACCGCAATTCACGTATAATCCACTTGCCCATACATTGTGGGCAAAATGGCAGCTGCAGTAGAAGACTCAACTTTTGTTTAAGACAAAGCTAGTTTATTTTAGCTTTAAATACATGTCAACAGATATTATACTTAAAACTGACCTGAAATTTCAGTTCTCATCAAGTTAATTGATCTTTCTCTTTACTATTCTGTGGAATGGTATGAAATAATACTATTCTAAGGATAGTTACAATCACTGTTCTGAAGTACTTTCAAAGCTGTGAAAATATTAAAAACAAAGGACACCCAAAAACTTTTTACAGTTTTAAGAATTTTTGCACAAACTCAGATTTTTAAAAGACCCATAAATCAAGACAGTACCAAGCTTCCATTATATGTATTTTTTATTTGAAGACAGTCAATCATAACAGTATTAACTGTAAGAAAAGTGATGAAAAGCATCATTCCATGACTGGAAGAGTAGAAGTTTCAGAGCTATCCAACTCCTTCATCCCTTTAATTCATGCTGTCTCCTAATAGCTTCAGAAAATAGATTGCTATTTTTCCTAAATTATGAAAAAGTTTGTCCCCCTACAGGCTGGTGCATACAACTTTGACAGAGATTTGTAACAAATGGTTCTCTCTCTTTTAAGAAACACATCATTTCCGTTTTTTCTCATCCAATTTTCTTCAACAAAGGTTGAGGACCTCTATGTTATGAGAAGACAGAAGCTCTCATTCTAATTCAGATGCCTGTTTCAAGATGGCTATTTAATTGTAGCAGCTGTACTTGGTAGATGTCAGCTGTTTTCAAAGATGACAAGTCTTTATTGACATAGAGCAGTTTTCAGATCCTATACCGATAGGAACGTTCAGCTATGGAAAACAACTACAAGATAGTAATCAAAATTCTTCTCATGTAGCCTACACACATAATTTCAATTTCTTTTTACGAATCCATGAAGATTAAAGAATCTGTACTATTAAGTTTATTAAAGGAGTTGAAGGAAAGAGCCTTGCTCTTTAGTGTTAAATTTCTAAAGGCCTTATCAATTATTTAATTGTAATTATGAACCTATATAAAGGGCTAGACTGCAAACGTTCAGAAAAATCAAGGTTAAATGACATGATTAAATTGTGTGGTGATAAATTACATTCTCTTAATATAAAACAGGGGTTCAGCTTCCATGCAAATCTCAAAAGTTTTTCTGAGAAAAACTGCCTGGCACAAAATAACTGTATATTGAATAAACTACACTATAATAGCTCCCTGTGTGGACACTTCATTCTGCAATAGTAAGTAGTTGTATTCTAGAATAATTAGACTACTCACAAAATGAAGTAATCGTAACTGAAAAGTGAACTCACTCTGTTGGGAATAGAGGGTCTTCACTTGGGAATAACTCATTTATACTAAAACAATTTTTCAGGAATGATTGTGCCAGTCAAGCTGACTGGTAATATCCAGGCAAAATCTTTTATCTTTACAGGGGAACAGCACCTGGTACTTCCATTGTAAAGAACTCAAAGAAAACCTTTCCTATAGTTTTCTTGCTACACTGAATCTCTTCTCCACCATGCTGATGCAAATTATTTTTCTCCAAGACAATCACTGTCACTAAGAGACCTGACTTTTAACATTAGAACAGAAGCCTGTACGTTTGTTTTGAATATAGTTAATGATCTTTTTTTTCCTTCCAAATTGCTTCTGTTTTGCACTGCTAATGGGGATCTTTTTGGTAACTGAGCTCACCTGTGTCTTTCTACATTACTGCAAGCCAGAAATATATCCATCTGGAAATGCTGCACTAGTGAAGAAAGAAAAGATTAAGCTAAATTTAAAAAAAAAAAAAAAAAAAAAAAAAAGAGGGCACAAGTCCACCATTATCACTGCAAAAAAGTAAACCAGCAACTTCTACCCAAATTAAAATAAATCCCAGTTAATTTATGGTGCATATATTTATTAGAGTTAGGACACCATAGCAAAACCAAATTGGTTTAGGAAAATACTCAGAACAGTTAGAAAATACGTATTTAAAAAGAATACAGAATGAAAGAATGTTTGCTCAAAAACAGTTCCATTGAGATAAATAATAGTAATCTGCATCTCTCCTAATACGTATTTTTCTTTCCAGGCCTTTTAAGGTTCTTATTGGAATATGCAAAGTTATCAGGAATGTCTGTAGATGAACCAAAAGACCATCAGAGAGAGAATACAGAACATGAGTGAAGATGGGATTTAAGACTGAGTAATAGATGAGCAAATTTAATAATTTAAGGAAGATTATGTAGGGCATGTAAAAAAGTCAATAAAGAAAATGAATGGACTTATACTGGGTGGCCTTAATACTTCTGTTATGCAACAAGCTTTTCACACAAGAGATGTCACTAGGCTCACCAAAAAAAAAAAAAAAAAAAAAAAATTAACAAGTCCGGTTCTTCAGTCTAAGCACAGTAAAGGCACAGTGATTCACACCAGCTGTGAATCTTGCCCAGCATCCTAGTGGTAGGATATAGTCCCTCTATAAGGAAGTGGAAAAGACACGTCTAAATTCCTGTAGTATCATCACATGTGATAAATTAGGAAAGTGGAACACTACATGATGCAATAATACATTGGGTTACAATGTCTACTAGAATTTGCCTCTAAAAACACATACATTTGCTGGTTGACAACTCAGTCTGTTAGTTCACACTTTGAAGCAGATTTTTAAAAAATCCGTAATTAATTCAGCCAGTGAAGGAAGACAAAAAGCAATGATGCCAACAGCATTCAAATTTTACCAGGGCTCTATGTAACTTTTCTAATACAACACATCTTTAACCAGAATCATAACTATATAGTTAATTTGATTTTCAAACTGATCTCATGTCAGATCACTTTTTGAAAATATGCAACTAAAACCTTTTAGCACTGTTTCAGGACAAAACTGTTTATTACTTCTTTTACATACCTCCTTTCTGAATTGGTCTAAATTTTCTGTAATTGGGGGCCTTTATATTAATGATGTGTTTATAATTCAAAATGGCTTATGAATCTTATCTCAATTTAATACTTACTTGATGATATTTAGTTTATGGCAAAGACGCTTAATCCTCATATTATTCATTAAACAAGGTTAAAATGACAGTAAGCAAGCCATTCTCTGACTGATTTAAATGACATACCGATACTTCCTCCTCTGCTGCAGTATCCATATGGCTGTGAAAACTGGATCTGTCATCATCTTCATCCATATAAACTGGAGGTTCATGAGATGTCATGAAAGTCGAAGGTTTGAAAAGATGTTTATTTAAAGGATGCTGCCGTCTACTTGATGACTACAGTGAAAAAATGATATATTTTAAGAAAAATTCCTTGGTTATTATTTAAGTAATCCTCATCAATAAAACCTTGCCAGAAATTTGCTCTTTTGCACTAAAGAGTCTATCATCTTTCCAATTATTTTTAGTTAAACCTCTCTATCAAAGCCTCATACAGCTGGAGTTTTTCTCCCCCATAACAAGTGAAATCAGATGAACAGTGCAACACTTCTTTGGTAAGAACCCAGTAAGAAAGAGCCCTTACCATAAAAACCCAACCATCTAAATAAATAAGACAGACAACAATAGAAAAACAGAAAATAAAGCTGTTACAATTTTGAAGACTGAGAACCAAAGTGCAAACATATTAAAAGACTTCCAAGAGTCATGAGTGGTGAGAGTGCAAGACTAAACAAAGTAGTTTTGCACAGGTCCAAGATCCAAGAGACCAGTCCACGCTGGACACTTTGCATCAACTTCTTGTATTAATCTGTGCCTTTGAAAAATTTAAGTCTACACTAATTGTCCAGATTTCTTTCCTAGTCCAGGGAGAGAAAACGCAATTCATTCTGCCATAAAAGAGGTTTCTAAGAGTTAGAAAGAATTGCTCTCTGAAGGTTCTTTTTCATTGCCACTGACTGGAAAAGGAACCTAAAAAATGTTAGATGAGATAAATTACTCCATTAGTGTATATCTAAAACCTTTCAACTTTAATGCTGTCTGAAGGTGTAGAATGCACCACAGTTTTAAAATAAGATTACTTAAAGGCACTCAGCTCCTATTACTTATTCCCCACGGAAGAATATTAAATATCGAAAAAGAAGAATTTAGGGTGCATGAAACTGACTCTTTACTTAGCTACTTTCCAGACCAGCATTTTGACATCTTAAATGTCAAATCTTACATTCCTCAATTTAAAGAAAACCGTGTGAATCAAAATCCAGAAGTATGAAAAGTGCTTTTTTAAAAAATCGTAAAACAAAGGATTGTCTTACACCGTGTCTAGCTTCTGTCATACAGATAAAGCATAAGGAATATTTACAATAGTTAATACTTTCTCTTCTTACACAAGGCTTTTTATCCCAAAGGTTCCTAAGTCAGTTACAAACCGGTAATACTATAATACAACCATTTATGTCTAAAGACGGATTCAACCTCTAAAGAGGGATCTAGCATCATTTTACCATTCTGCACAGTTTAAAAAGTAAAGGCAAAAATCACACAAATTATCTTAGATGGAATGTAGCTATGCAGACAGAAGTATAACAAGGAATTGAGACTAGCCCCATTCGCTCTTAAGGGAAGAGATTAAGTCTGTAGTAACGATTGGAAGCTGGTACGTCAGATCTGCAGAACAACTACAGTGCATAGAATAAAAACGAACATTTTGTTCTAAGACTAATGTACTATCCATTGTGTTGAATTTTTCCACCTTCTGCCTTATGATCACTGACTTCCTGTGTTTTGCTGCTTTTCTGGTTTCCTTTAAGATTTCAACTCCCCCAAAATACTTCCATTTATAAGGTTAGACGGTATTTCAGCTTGAGCTGACACAGTGATTTAGATTTTCTATTAACAGAAAACAGATCTGCATTCAATACTAGATTTGGAAATCAAGAAAGGAAAACTGTGTCTACACTTAAATAGTAGCACTGTTATGCATACAGTTATGACCTAGGAATTTAACTGAGGATTTGAATTCCCTTTTTAACATGATTCTACTTCTGGTAAAGAATGAACTAAATACTACATAAAAGCAGTTGAAAAATAATTTTTCCTGTGGGAAATATATCTTCTGGATTAAGCTTAAAAGCAGGTGCACGAATGATATTATATAAGCATTAAATTGAAAATGATAAGCCATAATTGAAGAACTGAATACTAGAGTCCTAAATCTCTCATTCAGTTTTATTTTCACCAGTAGCAGATGATGGTTATACAGGAAAATAAACTGATGCAACCTGTTTAATTTCCTGTATCACTTATCAGAAGAGACATTATGCCATATGAGGAGATATATGCAGTAACTTCAACAAGATGTTCAAGAACTGAACAGGCTTCTCACCTCCCCAGTAACCATTTTAAAAAAGCGTCCTGGGCAATCCCCATGGAGAAATGCAAGTACCTCCTTGTGAAGCATCCCTTTTGACACAATTATTTACATTATAAATATCTATGGTTTTTATTCTCCCATAGATATGTGCTTTAAGTATCGGCATCCAATTTTCATACTTCTATTATTGGCAATAAAGCAGATACCACAGTTTACAGCGTATGTGTATACTCAATATCAAAATAAGGATGAGCACAGCATAAGCATGACCCAGGCTTCCAATACCCTATGCATTTCCTTTCTGCCACATTATGTTATCTCCATTGGAGACTTCAGAATAACTACAGCCTGGTACAGTGCTGTCAATCTGTGCTCTAAGTAGACAGCTATATTAGCAGACTGAGAGCTCAATTCCCCCACGTACGCTATTTGTTTGATCTTTTCATCTGCTGTATTTCTTACATTTGTATTTGTGGGATACAAATATAAAATGGAGATGCTACCTTAATACAAACCAGGGCACAATGACCTTACTCTTATGACTTGGTAATAAGGGTATGAATCATACTGTGAAAACAGACGTAAGTATTAGATTTGTTCTACATATAAGCTTAAGAAAAATCTGTAGGATGGTAGCATTACCATTGTAGTATGAGAATGTTAAGAATTTTATAAAAAATATATTTCACTCTTGGTTATGCTGTGTTCACTGTTCAAATTAGTGAAAAATATGGTTAAAATGTCACACATGTACTGATTAAATATTCCCACTATTTATCAAATACAGTGATCTGCTGCCTGGTAGCATTGCTCACATTCTGTAATAACAGTCTTTCCAAACAAAACTAAGAGGAAAGAAGAAGAGACATGTGACTAAGGCCATTTAAAATGGTAAGGTGACATAAAGAACTCAAAGGATTATAATTTTCAAAACTAAATTTTCAACCCCTTTTGAAATTAGCCCCACAGTATGGTAAACTGTACAAGTAATTTAGAGTTCTAACGGATGAATCTCACCACAGTATTTAAGGTACCAATGTTTCCAGCTGTTTTTTTGGTTCTTCTGCCAGAAAGTGCTTTTCCAATAGACAAGGCGCCAGACAGAGTCATGCTTGCACCTTCCCTGCCTCTATTTATAGAGCAGAATAGTAGATTAAATTCCTGATGAAAGTAAAATGGCATTACCATGATGGATGGTAAACTGGAAAGCCTCTGATACAAGCACTCATTGTTTGCAGTAACTTCAGAGAATACTAGGAGACAACTGGGTATGTGTAACATTTTAAATCATTAGAGATGAGCTGTGGTAGATCTTTCCTATCAGGCCCCTCTGGCAGTAACTTTTGTTCCCAACCTTTCAAGGGACTAAATCTGCAAATTTGCCTTTTTGCAGAATCACTGTAAGGCTTACTCTATTCTTAATCAGAAAACATCACGGACACCTGGATGCAAAAAAGAAATGTTACTCTACAAAATGCCATTGTAACAGGTTTTAAAGAACTTCTGCAAACACAATGGTAACAAAAAAAGAAACCCAACAATCAAAACCCCCACAAAACCTGAGACTGCCCTCTTCAAATGTCTAGGGTCCTCATTAGTACCCAAGAGTACTATATTATTTAAATCAAAATATATGACCAGTCTGCACAGAAATCTAGAGTCTTTTACTTTGCAAATTAAGATTTCTTGGGACCATATTCTTTTCTCATCCATTCCAAGATCAGGAAAAGCACCACATTTTAATGGTCATTTATATGACCATTCTATTTTAATGGTCAGGTATGTTGCAAATCAAAATAAGACATGACATTTCAGTCTTAAGCCTATGCTTGTGCTAGTTCAGTATGCTCAGTTATACACAATTTTCTTTGTTTTTGTTAATTAGAAGATGACTGTGCAATATGAATTATAGGGCTCCTTATCTTCTTCCAACAGGGTTCTCATTATGCTCTTCTAGATCAATTACAGTAAACTTACAAATGAGGAAAAAGTACCCCAAGACCAATCATTCAACCCTGTTGGTTCAGCCTGCAATCTGACTGCTATGTTCTCTTTTCTGACACTTCTTGTCCCCGAGATTATCCGATAGAGAGGTAATTAACAGATGTTGATGTGAAACTAGAATAACACCCAACTCACTCGACAGTGCTAATGGCAAAAGAAAAAAATTACTTTAGTAAGTAAGAAATGCATCATGCAAGGTGGAACTAGTTAGTAAGAAAGCACTAATCAAGACTTAAATCTATTGAAAGTATTAATGGTTTAGACCCAATTTGCACGTAAATGCAAACAGAAATACGGAATTTCTGCTGTAATATTGTCTCACCTTTTTGGAGTATAAATATAAGTTTGGAGTTCTTCCTGGAACTGGAATACCAGCTTTAGTCAGTTTAATAAAATATTTTTGCACTCTACTGGCAACCTAGAAAAAACAACATGCGACAATTAAATGTCAAATGAAATGTAACAGGCCTTCACTTCAAAGTTTTGCCAGCATTGCTACACTGGTACAAGGACAAGAAACCCCCATTTTCTACTTTGCGACAACTACTCTAACCATTACCTATCTTGCAATGCTGCATTTGTAATATTTCCAGACACTTCGAAGGCTTTCAGAGAAAAAAACTACCCTTGTTTAAAAGTACACAGGAAATCTAGCAAAAATTGTGATAGGAAAGAATTTTAGTAGTTTGTTACCTGCAAAAGCTAAACTTATTCTTTCTTAACAATGACAGATAAAGTATGCATAGTTAGCATACAGAAAGTACTTCTACATTTTATTTATGAAATAAGTAAGCATATATTTTCATTTTTTCAGATGTGGAGAAATATACCTATAAGTATAGATACGATCAATGATGAGGTAATCTTGTATACTGAAATACTTAAGCATACTTTTACCTGAAAGCGTACAACTCAAATAGGAGAAATTAAAATACCGTGAACACAGAACCTCAGCATTTTTTACTTCTGGTCAAAATGGAGAAATTATGACATTTTAGGGGAAAAACCCCAACAAGTCAGATGCAGAAACACACGGTGTCTCCACATCTGTGTCCTTTTGTGGATCTCGGCCCCAGTACAGAACTAATTCTTCTGTCTGCGAGTATTAAAATGCCTGCCCATTCTACAGTATTGAGGTGCAGGAAATTCAGCACTCCAGTGTAACTCAATCTGAGAACAGTTGGTGTCACTATACTTGCTATATAGAATTAAATGCATGCTGTCAAAATCTAATGAACAACTAGGTCTGGGAGCTTTGTCGTGGGCTTTGGGGCACTTTTAAAATTCTGTATTTGAGATTGAGAGTAAGAGTCGCATTGTTATTAGTGAAATGCAGGCCCTGCTGTTACATTTTTAAGAAAAAGTGATTACTGAAAAGATGCTGGATTTTATTTATTGCTATTTAAAAAAAAATACTCCTACAAATAAATCTTCTGTGAATCTGTATCAACTGCTAGGGTGCAGTGACTGACATTACTACTACCACAGCACAACCACTCAAACAATCCCAAACAGTCAAATCTTTTTTCTAGCAAAATAAGTTTTATTGCTTTAATTATGAACATTATAAAAATAAACCCTCTTTTTTATTTCCTCAGTTTATGAATTGTTTTTTTTTTTTAACAGAAAAAAAGGTCAAATTAGAAATAAATTACTTAAGAGGTTGTATCCAGGTTTCTCTTCAACACTTACCTGCGCTTCCTAAAAAAAAAAAAAATAGTAGTCAAGGAAAGGGATTACTTCTCCAAGTGTTTTACTTGTTACCTGCTTTGCTGTTCTATTTCCCAGTTCATCAGCTATCTTCTGCCACCGTCGGGACTCTACTTCCTCTGGTGGATATTTCAGAAGCAATTGCTCAAGTTTTTTCTAAATCAACAGGGGAAAAAAAATAAATACATCTTTCCTAGTAGAGGTATGAGTTGTCAAAAGATGAGTATCTACACACATGTGACACTGAACTTCTAAATGCTTTAAACATTATTACACAATTTGCTTTTATTCTCATGTATGTTACCACAGCTACAAAATGGAAGTTTCCCATTACCTGTTCCTCTACAGTCCACAGCTGGTTAAAAGTTTCAGGTTTGGTCTCATCGCAAAGTCGTCCCCTTATCATCTGCTCAAATACAGTATATAAAATGGAATACGTGTTTAGAAAAAGTACAATTAGGATAACTTGATTTTAACCCTTTTCCTACCTAAGTAAAACCAAACCCAAACCAAATAAACGCATGAAAATTTGAAATAAAATTTGCCTAAACCAAAAATAAGTTCTCTGATTTGAGTACATGAATGAAATGCCATCATCAACTTTAACATTTGATTACCCACATACCCATATCAAAAAAGAAAAAAATTCAAAAGTAAATTTTGTAAAATTTTATCTTTCCTTTTGTAACAACTACCTGTGGACGACTGTTTGTAGAACCTTCTGGACCATCACTTAAAGGCAAGACAGAGTATGAAAGAGACTCTCCATCCTTCTTGGGATCCAAAGGACTTTTTGGTCTTGCAGCAGGTATACCTACTGTAAGCAACACAAAAAAGGAATTATTAAACCACCACACTGGTCATTTCTTTCTTGTAACGTATGCCCACTTTCCTTTTACCTTTGTCAAAAATCAGCTTCACTCTCCTACTGTTACGTTTTCGGTTTTTGAATTCTCTCTCAAAGTTTCCAAGGCTAGTGGTGTATTGGTCCCAGGCAATCTCAGGGAGCTGAACAACTCTCTGAGGATATGGAGACCCATATCAACCTGAAAAAAAAAAAAGCAATATTTAACGCAATCGCTGATACCCAAACAAAAACCTACGAATCCTGAAAAGTTATGAAAGCCTGATACTGCTTTTTAGCTAACAGCAGAATTCAAAATCAGAATTTTTAAAGCATCATGCAGCACACAGTCTTTTTAAGGAGAAGGTATCTTCCAAGAATAATACACAACAGTGCATGTAAAATATGCAGCGGCACGGTCAATGATGGCTTACTGAGCATAAAACTTTAAAGCGTGTATTTCACAGTTGAAATCAGGTGTTTCTGACTTCAATATCCTGTTACTGTCTATCTGTCTTTTATTTTGTTTAAACATACTGTTTGCCCAGGATCTGTACCTTTCTTAACACAGAAAACGATAGGACTTGGAGTTTTATCATCTGATAAACCTAAACTCCTCCTATCAAAGAAATCAATGTATATTTTACACTGATTTTGTTGTCTTCTGCCTAGAACACAACTGTTGAAAAGCTCACCACTTTATTTAAAGGTCAACCTTAAGAGTATCGTTCCTTTGGTTTGGAGACAAAAATACACTAGGTACTTTCAACTAGCATTAGTATTTCCCCATATGATTATCAAATGCAACACGACTACATCATGCATGCTATTAACTCAGCTCAAAATTTAATGGAAAGACAACTACTGAAACCAATGGGCTTACCTCAGACCTCTCTTTAAACCTAGGTCTCTACAAACCTAGGAAAAGAGTACCATAAAATACCTACTTCATTCTTCACTGAAATACATGTTGCTACCAGACTAGAAGGTCAAGCGTGTTTGTCACTGGTAGACGTGGCAACAAGAAAGTATTCAAGCTTTAAAACATTTTTTCAGTATCCCTGTTACTACAAGTTTTTTTTAAAGCTTGAAAAGAAAATGTTTTCTTATCAAAATTAATTCTCCTCCATGAGACAATATTATGTTATCCAGAACTCAGGTATGTTTTCTAGCGTTCATTTTGGTTTTAGGCTATGAACTACATTTCCTGCTCTTTAAAAAGTACCCTACCAAATTCACTTATAGCACAACATTTAATTTCTCCAATGAGAAAAGTTATGAATTCTTGATCTGATGCCTTACTATGCAGTACTTCCAGTCACCTGTAGATTTCAGGTTGTCTTAAAATACCTACGTTACAATTAGAAATTTAAAGATCACATTTCCACATACCAAAAAAAGGAAAGAAAGCATATCTAATAAAATCATTGAAGACCTACGTCTTACGGATTTAATAAGCGAAGGGACATTTTTGCTCAACATAAAAAGGATTTTAAACTCATAATGTTTACGCAAGTATATATAGAACTCTCTGATTTCTATAGACGATTAATTACTAGTTATTAAAAAAACTTTCCGAGTAAGACTTAAGAAAAGCCCATTGAAATACCTTCTTCTGGAGTCTTTCCACAAATCCAATAGGATCTTTCAGTGCTTCTCTCTGGTGTCTGCCTAAACTTTCAAGGTCTTGAACTGCTTGAGTACGTTGAGCCTCGAGTACAGCAATCGTCTGTAACAGTCTCTGATAACTACAGAGACAAAGGAAAACATCTCACTAAATTTGTCTTAGAAGTGACACCCCCCCAATCTAAATACTAGCCATGATTATCTACTAGTATCTACCAGATTTCATAGCTTATCTGAAACAGTTCATAGACATTTTTACTGAATTATATAAAAAATTATATCAAATCTATTTTAAGTAGTAGATGGAATTTATATAAATCCGTTAAAAAAAAATAAAAATATATATTTAAAACCCCCAGTGATTGCCTTGAAATGTAAATTCTATACTAGGTAAAACAATATGGTATCAGGGACAAGCTATTCATATCCTCAATAGCTATGACCAACAAGCTTTGCTTACAAAGTTAAAAAAAAAACCAACCAAAATGACCTAGTTTCTCTTCCACTTCAAAATCAGCTTCCTTCTACCCCAATACAAATAACTACCACAGAATTTTAACATTTTGCTCAACCACCCACAGGGTGGACAGGAATGGCTTAGAAACTGTATCTAAACATTTCATATAAGCCTCAACTTCGAGCGGAATACGAGAATCATTTACAAAACGTAACGATAAACCAAGGAATAAGTAATTTGCAAAACAAATACATGCAAAAGCTATTCCTCTAAGAATCCAGAAGTTTAATGAAAATGTCAGCATTCCCTCAAACCTGCCGTCCCAGATGCACACACAAATTTGTTTTTTTATTTAACAGATACTTTTGAGAGTCACTGAGGTGACTATCATACCTGTACCAAATAATGTATGCTTCCCAAACTGTTTTCTATAAAGCTAACTCAGAGTCAGGAAACCATACAATATTGTAACACAGCCTTTAAAAAACAGGTAACGACATTTAATTCATTTTATTAGCTTTATAGTTACAGTCGTCCACTTCAGCTTCTGAATCATGTAGTTACTCATGGCCCCTTGTTGCAAATTATTATGTATCAACTTAGCTTTTTTCATGAAAACGTTTTCTGACATTTAATACAACTGTATTTCAGTTCAGCGCAAATGCAACCTAACGTATACTAAAATCAGGTAAGACCTATTCACTACTACACTATTTCAGTAAATTTTCTTTCTGTTCTCTTATTGATAAAACAAAGACAAGCCTAACACAATGAATTCCATGGGTATTTCAGAAAAGATCCAGAGGTTACTGAGCTAATGCAAGTTTTTCAATTGACTGCACTGGTAAGTGGGTAAAGCTTTAAGTGGAGGGAAGTAAACAGCCTCAAGGCAAAATACAGGCTTTATACCATAAAATATTTAAGTTCCTACCTAGACATTAAACTGCTGCCTCCCCATGAAAAAGGGTAATTTTCTTTCCACCCAAATGTAGTATTTGAAAACATAAAATATAGCCATACGTTCTGAAGTTTAAAATACTGAGCTTGTTTAAAAACAGTAGGATACAATTCTGTTATGGATTTATTATTATTTAAATTTGTCTGCACATATTCAGGTTTACATGCAACTAAGACCTACAGTGCTTGTTAAATAGGCCATTAATATTGGAACAGTAGTAAAATATTTTCACTACTGGAAAAGTGCTCCAGTTTCTTCTAAACAAAATAACTTCACATAAAGCAAGATAATTAATGGGGCTATTCTTGAACAGGCAAAAACCAAACCAGAAATACCTTACGAAAATAGTGAAGGCACCTCAAAATTGGCCTGAGACAATACCGCAGTTCAGATTGTTACAGGCTTACAGGAATCATCATATGTAGAATTAAGATCTTTACTTAGTTTTTACAAATAGCATCTGATTACTGCCTAACTTTGTGCTGGGCAACCTCTGGCCATGCTCAGGTGGACTGACAGCACTGCTTATGCAGAAGCCTGCCTTGCACGCTCCAGAGAAATGAAACACAGGCAGGCTGCTAACATGTTTGATGTAGATGCAGCTGTAACAACACAGAAGAGCTTAATGGTATCTGGGGAGATGATTTAACCTAGACAACAGAAAGCCTTTTTCTATCAGCAGGTGCCAAAACTTCTATACAAGACTCTGGAGTTAACTCTAGTCACAGTAACAGAGGCTCAGTAGCGTACACAAAAATCTGCTTCTAGGATGTTAAATAAATACCTGCCTTTCTTTTGTTGAGCCATTTTACCTCATTTATTCAAATTGTATTTAAGTGATTGCTTTTCCAAATGAAATTGAAAGAAAATAATCATTTCATTTAAAACATTTACATACATAGAAGAAAAAAAGCTGATGATTTAGATGAAGTGTAATTTAATGATGATTCACATGTGTAAAGTGGGGGAAGAAATCATCTTAATGAGGTGGCCTTAAATAATTAAGTCTGAATGGAAAGAGAAGAAATTACACTTGGGGAGAAATAACAAACAAAACAAGAATATTGAACTCCAATTACTTCCCTCGTTAAAACATTCATGTGACCTCACTGAAGTAATCATGGACTTGAAGATAAATGGTTCAGAAGCGATACCTCTGGTCTTCATGGAAACACGTAAAATATTACAGGAATATCAGGATCATTCAAAAACATGTCATGTGATGTTGATCTGTGGCTATATAGCACTATTATAATGAAATAATTCAAGACAGAAAAAGGGGGTTTTGAGCAAACTGTTCAGACAAAAAGATTTCCTGGCACTTTTTTGTACCTCTGCTAAACAAATGCATTAACTTGGAGCTATTTAACTTCCATATTCGGTTTTTATGAATGAATATATTCTGAAGCCCAGGAATAAGAGTGCAATTTTATCAAGTGAATATCAGAAGTATTGAAATGCATGAAAATGTGCATTTTGGGGTCTTACATTGCCAAGAAAAAATTGAAAATACTAATCCTGAAACACACAGTTTGCATATTCCATGTTCAGGTACTTCAGATTCGCTGCAGTACTGCATTCTCTCCAAACCATTGCACGTCCTTTTAAATTCCAACATGACTTTTTAACCCATTGCATTACAAGATGTCTGCATACGTTCTTTTAAGTTTTGAACCACTACTGTTTTCACAGGTTTGTACAGGCTTAGTTCTCGGGCCCTACATGACTGTAATAAAGCCAAGTATTTATCTGAAAAAGCAGTAAGCCAAATAACGCACGCTTTGAACACTTTCTTGAAATCTCTGTCTGTTCCGGCTTCTTTGTCTCAAACAGTAACATAATACTTCTGCCGCATTAAGCCAAAGATACTGTGCGCATAATTTCCAAGACTATTTAAAAAAAAGTGCCTGACAATTTTACTATCCATCTTCCAAGGTTCTCTGTAAATAAGCACAAGAATTATGATTCAAACTACCTCCTACAGTTGCGCTAACATTCTCCAAAACTGAAAAAGCCTAATGATGGTAAAGAGAAAGGAACTGGAACCTTGCTCACTAGTCCGCTGCAAAACTAGCTCCATCCTTCAGTGAGGCAAACACAGAGCAACCATCTCTAAATTATCTACCTACAGTATAGTTTTCTCTGAAAGATCTGTGAGGAATTACCAAGGAAAATTATCTCACATCCTCTGCCAAAACAAAACAAACTCATACAACTAAAAATGCATAATTTGAGTAAACTCAGTCATATCCCCTACACCAACTGAAGTTACACTTCTCTCAGTTCTGGTTACTAAATTGTTAGCACATACAAAACCCGAAGCAGTTTTCTTTGTAGGAAAACTTCCATTCTACAGAACGTAATTCCATGTTTCCACAATCCCAGTACTGAAACACTCTTGTAATTTCTTAAATCATGTTAATTGCCAGGAATCTTCCAGATGAACACTTGAACAATTCAGTATAGTACAGAAACTGATGGTGAAAAACCTTGATTATAATGGGTTTTTGAGGGACCAGTATTTTAAAAAGGAAAGCCACTTCTTAAGGATTGATACTGATCAGCAG